TGTGGACCGTTAACCTTCCAGCTAAGGGCCAGACCAAACCCATTGCCTGCCTTGGTAACGAGCTGTTCCACAAGTCAAGCAAAGGCGGGGGTGAGCCTGTCCCCCCAGCAATGATGGAGCTTGCCTCCAGGCCCTATGGATTTTTTTTTTTTTTTGGTGTGTATTTATTTTTACAGTTGTAAGTAAATGTGTATTGGGTATTGACTAGCTGACTTGGAATTGGAGTTCACACACGTTCTGCTCGAAGGACTTGAACGTGCATGTTCTTGAGCGCTACCCTACAGGACTGCGTCAAGGCATCAGATGCCGAGCATCTGAGATCGACGGCACCTTACGGGATCTGACAGCGAAGCACCACATTCGGCCAAAACAAACCCCACCCGTGTCTGTCCCTGAGCCGAGTGTCAGCCAGGCCGCTTGAAGGATTCGGCCAGTTTATTAGAAATAGTAGCCCCAGGCACTTAACTACAGCAGGCCGTTGCCTGAGGTTAAAGACTGTCCATGCCTTGTAGGACCTTGTTGGTACTCTGTGTAATCAATTTGGACCTTCAGCATGGGATGGAGGTATCCAGCTTCTGTGATTTCCATGCAGTTTTTATCACTCCAGAAAGCTATTGTACTTGATTGGCTTTCCCAAGTAATTAAAGATGAATTTTGGATTTTATTTTGTTTTTAGTAGAGTGAGTTCTATTGGAACACTAAATCAAATTGACAAAGCGTGCATTTGCTTTTCCTCCTCTCTTGGTCCCCTACTGTTCAGGTACAAAGTCAAGTTTTGTCTTATTCTAGATATACTGAAGTGTTACCTGTGGTGTGTATGAACTACAGCTGTATGGTTTCTTTTCTGTATTAAAGTATAAATTATATGCGACTTGTTTGGCTCTTTTAAAAACTGTTGTAAGTGTGGAGCAGACGAATGGGCAGGGCATAGATTGTTAGAAGGTTTTGTTGCCTTGCTTCATGAAGTAAGTGTGGCTTGTGACCCTAACGTCTTAGAAGCAGTTTCACATCAGACGGAGCCTGGTTGATTTGGCACAGAGGCGTTACTACCGCTTGTGCTGAGAGGACCTCAACGTTTACCGACTTCTTGCTGTGATGTTCTAAAAGCAGCACATAGCACAGGTATGAGACACCACTGCGTAACCCACAAACTATGTGGCATCTAGAACAGGCCCTAGTGCTATTTTTGGTTAGCGTGCTATGAAAGATGCTCTCCACTTCTTCCTACTTCTCTCTTTGGAAGAAAACAGCTTTGGAGCAGGTCTGGCTTTTATTTCTGTCTTCAGTGTTGGATGCATTTCAAGGGTTTTCTTGATGAAGCTTGAGAAAGGCGTTAAGAGTCTGAAGAAGGTGGAATTTAGTGGCATTACTGAAGCGATAACAGGAACTTGTATTCAGAAGTGGAGCTGTCACAAATGCGAAGCAATGAAATAAGAACTGCGAGTTGATTTTGGCACATTACAAACTGGTAGAAAAAAACGAAGGGTTGTAGCTTTGCTTCCAATGCCACTTGCTTACTGCTTATTATCCCTTTTAAAGATAGAAAGGGGAAAAGATTAAAAACAACTTGCCCTGAAGCTGGTAAACTGAAGTGCCGTTTACACAATGCAGACACCCAGGCGTGAGTAAGGCCGGGGTCCTTCACCCTTGCCAGGAGGCCGGGCCCAGAAAGGTTTAATTCATCTGAAGATCGGCACTGTCGTTCGCCTTTAACTGAGCGCTCATTTCTTCATGTCTGCTGTGCATCTTCTGGAAATGCAGTCTTCAGCCTGTGAGTTACTATTGCATTCTCCTACCCAAGCGGCTGATTCTAAAATCGGTTTCAAGCCTGAAAAAAAACCAACCTGAGAGATTCCAGTTTGTAAAAACAAAACATGCTAGCAAAATTGTGTTTACTAAAAGGATTTTATTTACACAACACAATGCAAAGATTGCTCCATAAAAAGTTGGCTCCCCCAATACACCTGCCAAATTTTACAGTGCAACTTAGTAACAGCTTTTAAATATTTACAGAACACTTTTTCAACTTAGAGGTTAAGGCAGAGTCAGGGCAGGGTAATAAGAAACACTTAGTGCAGTTTTGTGGTAGGCATGATACAGAGATGAACTGGCAGCGTAACTCATGTTCAGATCCATTGGAAAGTCAGATTGGAATTACTCCTAGAAGTCCAGCAACTGCTTGCAGCTTGAAAAAAAAGAGATAAAAGATACATATGACCTCAATACACAAGCCAGCAGCTAAGAAAAACATTTGGCTAACGTGGGAGATGGAACAGGCGTGTAAAACAGTCTGTTAGCAGTGAAGTATGGATGCTGGAAAGAAGACACTGTACTTTTTTTCCTAGTGTTGGTGAACGACTGTATGAGGCAGCAGACCTACGGTGCAGCTGTGCTACAAAGCCCCCGGACACACCTTTCCAGCGGGAGGCTATATGCAAAGACATCCAACTCCTACCGAAAGACAACAGCAGTGAGGTACCCAACTGCTCCTTGTGCCTTTGAAAAACTTCACCTTTCACTGAAAAAGTGAACAATCTGAGGTTTCGGAAGGCTTTAACACACATGCACTAAAAATGCACAATACATATTATTATATACGGGGTTTTTTTTCACAGCAAGTTATCACAACGTACAATTGTATAGCTTCTTCATCTTTGGTATTTATAAATAAAAATGCCAGTCCCTTTTAGTAAAGGGCTAATAATGCAGCTACTCAAAATCATTTATTCCTAATCCACAGCAGCTTTAAAGAATTTTTCTCTTTTTTTTTTTTTTTATTTTAAGGCAGTAACTAAGCTGTTAGGAATTATAAAAAATGGTTTTATATTAATACCTCTTAGTTTTCCAATGGTTTATAAGGCAACATTTTCAAATGGCTAGAAGAAACTGCAGGATAAGGAGATAGAGCGATTTGAGAAGTTGGTATCCGTCCTTCATAAAAAATAAAAAGGGAGCAGAAGGTGGTATTACTGACTAGTTGATAAAAAGCCTGACCCTATAAATCATTACCTCAGTTAGCCCTTATTCATCTGAGTAAGCCCTACTGACTACAGTGATCCTGGCACTTCTAATTAAGGCTAGTTTTGCATTTCAGCTCTATAGGATCCAACTGGTATCTAAACTGCTTATGGCAATTCATTTAACTCCTAGGACACACACAAAAAGCACAAGGGGTGGTTAGGGAGAGGATGATAACGAGTTATCACCCAGGTTTAGCTATATATGGTACTTTCAGTCCCCCGATCAGTCCTTCACGATGGCACTCGGTTCAAAAGACATCTAGGTAAAAATTCCCTAAAAGCACCTATTAAAAAAAAGTTTCACTACAAACTCATTTGCTTTCATTTCCTAATCTAGAAAGTTAGGACTAAATATAACTGAAAGCCTTCTTTTTACTTTGAAACACTGCTCTAGCTTTGTTTCTAAATAGCTTTTTTTTTTATTTCTATGTAGTGTTCAGCACCAATAAAAGTTTGCAAGAATCCAAGACAGCTCAAATTGATACATGCTTTTAGAAACCTCATTACATTTATTTTAAAAAAAAAAAAAAAATCTAATTGCAAATTAAAGACTGGTACCAGGCTGGCCCAAAGGTTAATGCCACCTGCCCCTGGCAGTGGAGAGTTAACTACAAAAGAGGTGCAAAGCGGAGCTCGTGATTATAAAAAGGAATTACCAAAAGCTCAACCGCGGTAGAATCCTCCCTCCCAAATTGCCGTCGTGTTCTGAGAGACGCTTCGGCAAGGAAAGGCACTTTGGGGCTCTCCTGGAGAGCATCCTGACCATAACTGAATGTACTTTTGTAACTTCTATCACGCCCTAATCAAAGAGTGGACACCCCAACGTGACCTCGTGAGGCACCGTCTCTTTGGAAGACTACAGGGACAGATGGTTCGGCCACGACAGCAAGAGGAGCTCCGTAGGGAAGAGCCAGGGAGGCCTCTGTCATCAAGATTCAGGGAAGAATCTGATGCCGTTCTGCTCAAAACCAAGAGCAAAAAGGCCACAAAAGATGGTTTTGTCTTTAAACCAACGAACATGCAGCAGATCTTTAAAGTGGCCAAAAGATGGCAGCAGCAGGAACGGGAAGCCTCACAGCTGACTCGACAGTACACAAGATGCCCACCAATGATCAGGTGAAATGAATTTCCCTCCCTCTCTGCTCTAATTCCAGATCCACCTGTGTTACCAGCTGCAGTTTTTATGATCTGCATTGTTTAGAGATCCATCCTTTCATACAGTGACTGAAAACTGTTGGCGCTGGAGGAAGAGGCCTGTCTCTCCTGTGACGGTCTAGAAAAGAAAAAGTGTTGCACAATTTTTTAATTTAGAAAAAATATTAAATGGCTTGAGGGTCACTGTGTTAGTACCAAAAGTAAAGTGCACCGCAACTGGAGGCCACTGCAACAGACTTGAGAAATGCTATTAAAGAGGCTTCCAGTAGCATTATAAAAAACAGCACTACAAACTAAGGTTAAGGCAATACAAGTTGTGTCCTTCTACTGGATAGTTTACTGGAGAGTTGTCTATCTCAAGCTTTAATTATTGCTTTGTTTCCTCTGTACTGAAGTCCTTAGCCACTGGAAAAACAGTGCTGGCAGAATTGGCGGATTGAGCTTGTCTCTTAATGCAGGACTGGCAAAACAGTCCATATAAACATCACGTGCTTTGCAATGTCAGAGCGAAGGCTTGCTCTCGTCTCCTGACGGACTGTACAATCTGGCAAAGAATTTAAGAAGAAAATAAACTCTTGCTCCTGAAGCAGCAAAACGTGCCTGCAGCAGAGATGATGCAAACATTTTGTGGAATTTTTCAATGGCGCAGAAAGAAAAAAATCCTCGGTAACGACCAGGGTGTGTAACAAAACAGGGTCCTGAAGTCTTCTCCAAGAGTTGATAGCCCTCGAGTTTTCTTTAAAAAAAAAAAAGTTTTTATGGGTATAAACCCAAAGTACAGGAACAGAATTCCACGGCTCAGAAGTTGTCCCAGGTAAAGATGTATTACTTTCCTGCTTTCATATAGGATGGTATTGCTCCTCGGGCTGTCAGACCTTCAAAACGCTTGTAGGTGTAATTGATAAAAACCCAGTCTTTGTTCTTGTAGTCAGTCTCTGGATGGTTGCTTGTTGCCACTGATAAGACAGAGAAAAATAAAATTATCCTTTGAAGACTACAAAGTTTATTTTCATACAAAACACTGGATGTGCAGCAGGGGAGAATGCTTCTAAAGAAAATATCATTAATCTAGGCATTCAGTTTTATTCTTCAGCCTCATGGAGCAAATGTGCGAATATGCTCCGACACGTAAATACAAGGATCCTTTAGAGATTTACACCAAAACATATCGTCCCCTTCTGGCCCACCTCTCCCTACCCCTATACTGAGTGTTAGACACAGTAGCAAGAATTAGCCGATACCAAGCGGCACTCGCAGCGTTGGGCTCACAGGTCCCGCTGGGATTTGAACTTGCGAGCTCCGCTACCTCTTCGAGATGCCCTTCCTCAAACGGCTCCCACATGATTCACAAGTCTGCATCCCATCTCCTGAAACCCAAATTGCAGCTTGCACACCCCTGCACCACAAGACTACCAAGCTAACAATTTGATCATAACAAACTAGCATCTAGCAAGATCTTTCTCTGATTAACAGGAAAGTGGCATTAGTCTATCGGAGAAGAGGAAGGATTGTTTACATGCGGAATCAAAGCATTTACCTGTGGGTTTAAGGATATCGGATTCTGGAAATTCATCAAAGTTCGAGGTATCATCAATGCTTTTGATTTCTATTGAAATTGCAGCAGGTCTCTCTCTGCCAAGAAGAGCAGTTTCGGCATTAAGATTTCAAAGGCAGAAGAAAGCAGGATTCAGCCACTTTCCATTTCTTAATGGAATCAAAGACTGAAGGTACCTTAGCAAGCTTCAGATAAGGAACAAAATACTCTCACCCACACCTAGATATAATAAATGCCAGTCCAGCTGCTCACTTCTGTTGAACAGGACGAGCTTTAACCAGTCCGTAGGGAAGAGCAGCTTGCCTTTCTGCAAAGCATCTTACCTGATATGCTCCCAATCAACCCCTTCAAAGAAGGGGTTACTCTTTATTTCCTCCACGCCAGACGCACCAATTCTGTGCTCCCATTCACAGCAAAATCTGGGATGGAAGGAAGAATGAAAATGAAGGAAGAATGAAAACAGAAGCATTCCATCCAGAAATGGAACAGCTTTCTGAACTGGTACTACTACGGTTTCTTAACATAAATGGAGAGGATCAAGAATTCCCACTGCAAAACCAACAAAGTTATGCTTAGGAATGTCATGTCAAATGCTACAATTAAGATGCGGTATTCTTTCACAACAGGATAATGTGCCCTTTCTATTTCAGGACCAGTGTAGAGCAGGAGAACATATAAAGCCTAAAAAGCTAGACATTTATATTTCTGTCCTGAGAATAGATAAGGGATTGAAAATACAAATGAAAGAGTCGGAGTCAGCCTGCGCTGGGATACGTTTGTATGCTCCAGTGCATACAATGTCAAACCCATGGCTATTGTAAGAAGCTAGCTCTGGCAAAAAGATGAAGTTGCTTCCACGAGAAGCTCACAGACAAAATAAAGAGCAGAAACATTCCGATTTTGCCAGATTAGCAGTACTTACATGGGAGCTCCTTTTCAGTATAGTTCAGTCAGGGCTCCACTAAATGGCCTCTGAGAGCAAATGTATTTGATGAGGGAGTTCAGCATTTGATGCATGTGCATAACAGAGTATGTAGCTGCCACAAGCATCAGGTTTTTTTCATGTGAAACAACCTATGAGAGGTACATAGTACAGTTTGCAAGACAAGAAAATGAGTACTCTATTAACTGGCAAACCATATGGTTGGCACCTTAAAATAAGATCCTTTGCTTTATCAGATATCGGAACTTCTGGAGGAAATGTGAGAGTCTCTTTCCAATTCATTACTTTCTTATATGTTTCTTGAGGAGTCTCAGAACAGAATGGTGGATAACCTGAAAAGAAAGAAAAATACAATCCTGTATAAAGCAGAAATAGCTCCTGCAGTTCCTGAAGTCTACAGCGCACCAGAACAAACCTCACAAACCATGCAAGAAGCGGGTGCTTTGAGAACCTGACCCCAAGCACATAAATACAGCTGATGTCCTGCACCACAATTCCTGCTTCAAACTTGTGCGCTGCCCGTTTCTTACCAATCAACATCTCGTACATGATGACCCCAAGTGACCACCAGTCACAAAGTTTGTTGTAGCCGGTCTGCATGAAGACTTCAGGGGCAATGTAATCCGGAGTACCCACAGTAGAAAAAGCCTGGAACAAATACCATCAGTTATGCATCTTGAGAGAAAGCTGCCTGATATGGAAGTGGGAACTTATGCAGCAATGGTTATTTTGAGGAAGACACCAGATTGTCTCTAAGATCCTTCAGCAAAGTTGTTTAAAGCCTTTATTTCAAGATAGGTAGACACAAAATCAACGCGTTCATGTGAAAGAGTCTTAAAATAGCGTCAGGGAAGTGGGGAAAGGTACCACTGTCTCTCTACACCTTTCTTATTAGACCTTTGTTATACTGAAAGTGGCAAGAACTGTTAGTTTTAGCTGGGAGGCATCAGACATCAATGTAAATAATCATGGCAGCCCTATCGCAGGCACATATGTCCCCAGCTGTTCAGCAGATGGATGAAGGACAAACTAGAGTCATTCCTCTTTTAAAGAAAAAGTGTGAATCTTTTTATTTCAGCATTGTTCAGAACTCTGAAATGGATTAATGGCCGTCATTGAAATACGTGCCATTTGATGTCCAATGCCATTGATGTTCAAATGCCGTTTGAACGCAACAGCTCAGCAGAGAACATTTCCAAGCAGGTGAAACGTACTTACCAACTGCCGTCTGTTTCTCTTCCAAGTCTCTGCTTTCCTTTTGGAATTCATGTTCTGGAAAGCTAAAGGAGATTGGAATATATGTGACTGCATCCTACTGGTCACCCAAGATACATTTTTAGCCCCAAACCATTACACTAAAAATCTCCTTTACGGCATCAAAGGAGGTAGGCAGGGCCTGGACAGACAGCCCGTTCTGTATTCAGCTGGCCTGGTAAGAGGGTACAGTCCCCAGCTGCTCATCGCTGGCCCCTACGGCCAAAGTTGACCACCACGGCGAAGCTGGAGCTCTTTGCGGAGGCACACCTTAACTCACCCCACTGAAGATACGCCACATCAGCAGAGGTGAACTAGTTAACCTGCCTCGGCCTTGCCTTGCTCAGCTTAGCCGGCACAATCCAAGGGGTGCCTGCGATGGCAGATCAGAGCGGCCAGCAGCCTCTGCAGGCAGCGGCAGCTGACAGCTAAGAGCAAAGCAAGGGAGGTAACCTCTTCCACCGGTACAGCTGGTTGCAAAGAGCACATCTGTCAATACCCTAAACCCATTGGCCACGTCCAAACCTAGGTAATAGTGATAAAATTTTATAAAGCCTTTCATTAGCCATCCATGCTTTCAGTGTTTTTTTAACTCCATGATCAAGATTATTCCCCTTGAGAAAATTACTGAATATTCAGAGAGTCTGTGTGCTCACTTATTAATTTAAGTTAACACGAGATAGAGCTAGCATCTACCAAGTCACACTGAGTTTTCATTCGAGGTTTATTACACATGCAAAGAAAGGCTACAGCAGAGTCTATTTCAAAGACAAACTTCTAGAAATGAAGATGTTTACGTGCATTAAAGTAGCTAAAATTATTTTAATAAATAAGGTCTACAGAAAGTCAAAATTACACCTCATGATGCAATGTTGATTATTAGACCCCCCTCTGCAGCCTTCTAACTTCACATGTCAGGCACCGACAGCAAGTACGCAGATACCCTGCTGAAGCCAAATAACTTACTGAAGTCACTAGGAAGACTATGGTTCAAGTTTCTGTAAAATTCTGTTCTGTGGGCTTTCTTTAGTCCAGTACACAGACCAAAATCTGAGAGTTTTACGTGGCCCTAGAAACAAAAACAAAAAACAAACAAACAAAATACAAAACCAGTATGAGACATTATCATAGCAAATGAAGTTTTCTTCTTCTTCCCCTCCCTTTATTTTGTATAATAAATAGATGCACTCTTTCTGCATTCCTTGTTTTAGCCTAAGATTGGATGTGTACCTAGCATCGAGCTATTACTACTTTCATCAGCACTACTCGGAGAAAGCCCCATAGCTATTCACTTCAAGAAATCTCTGCTCCTGCAAGTTCCTGACCATTTCAGAGTGAAAGCCAACGTCTCCAGAGGGAGCTGTAGTCCCTGGATTCTGCATTGACCCCAACGGATAAGGAGAAACACCTTAAATTCATGGATCAGAAGGAGAAACACCTTAAATTCATGGATCGGATCTGTCCTAGTGCATAACACGCGACCACACCGCCTACGTGCAATTTTTAGATGTATATCTAAAATATACATACTTTCGAAGTCCTAAATTTATCTATGTCTAGATGAGGGCATACTGAATTACATCAGTAATTCCCACAGTGCATCATTAGCTGGCTAGTGTTAAAGTACAATTATTTACTGTTGGCTTGTTTTTCCAAACAAGCTGTATTTTAAGCAAACTTGTAGTGAGCAACGGGAGGACAGTGAAACAATCGAGCTTTCTGCAAACTGCCTCCAGTAACCATCTAGAAGCAACCAGGTAGCCTGGCCAGCCTTCAGAAATACATCCTGATTCTAAGGGAGATAATATCTCGGTTTCAGTCTCGCTAATGGAACAGCTACATCATTCGCACTCGATATGATCATCTACCCAGTAGCTGGCAAGCGTGAGCCTAACAGATGTGAGACCAAAAGGAAACATCTTTGATGAGAGGGGAGAACTGAAACTGCGTGTTTTAAATTGCAGCTGAAATAACCAAAAATAGCCTAAACAACTGTCAGAAGAGAGCTCATAAGCGAGGTATAAACACAGCTGGAGGTGGAGGAGAGGTCTTTCTTGGTTTGTTTTTTTTCCCCCAGCAATAGGGCAGATAGGCCCTCAAAAGCTAGAAGGAACAGGGCTAAGAAAGAAGCACCGTCTTCTCTTTCACAACTGTCAACACGGTCAATATTAAAAATTACAAGACCTATTTACTATGACCCGGCCAGTGGTTAGTACATACCTTGCTATCCAGAAGAAGGTTGTCTGGTTTTATGTCTCGATGGATAAAACCCAGCTGATGAATAGAATCAATGGCTAGCACGGTCTCGGCTATATAGAACTGTGTCTCTTCTTCTGTTAGAGTGTCTTTTTTCATCAACAGTGTCATCATATCACCTAGAAGCCACCCCACAAATAGCAAAGGTAAATACAAACACACAAACTCCACTCTCGCTAACTTTGAAGACATTTGCAAAGAAAAGAATTAAGCTATTTAAAAACCTCAGGAAATCTAAATTGAGTTCATATAAAGTAACAGAGTTCCCCAGCACCTCTGTGACAAACTCTTGTATTTCCCCTTGTATCACTGCCCATGGAAAAACTCGTACTGTAGTTGTATTAAGCTTACTGAGACAGTTAAATAGCAGAAAGATGAAATAGCAGTACAGAAACATCCCTTAAGAGTCAGCTATGGACTGCCACTCTTCGCTACACAGCTGAATCGCAGATGAAAATAGATGCTGTCAGCTACAGAGGTGTTACAAAAAACAGACGGCATTTGTGCCGTGTCATCTCAGAAAGCGTTCTTGTGGTTTCATTAGTCACATACATTACAGGCTTTCAGTATAACTTTCTTCTTAAGTGAATTACAGTAGCATTATCATCCAAGGACAAACATCATCATCCTCTGAAAAAAGGACCTTTAGAGTTACTCTTACTGCAAGCCAGCTAAAAGCAGAAGGTTAGAAAAATCAAAAGCTGGTTATGTTATGGATCTATAGATAGCCAGGGCACAGTAAGGATAAGAGCTAGCAGAACATTGAGGCCAAGTTTCAGACATCTGCAGCTAGAAGACCCAAGCAGATAACCTGACCCACAGGCCTCAGCACCCTAACTCCTCAAAGCAGAAAGCTTTACAGCGACTTGTTTCCTCACAAAGTAACGTCCAGTACGAGCACCGCTGTATGGTAACCACACACGCTCTCGTCCCAGGCTACATTTAATTACATGTAATTAAGAAGTGAGAAATCCACAAGCAGTCTTTTGATTTCAGGTAGTTACCTCCCGGCAGGAACTCCATGATAAGGTAGAGGTTTAGCTTGTCCTGAAAACTATAGAACATTTTCACAACCCACAAGCTGTCTGCCTCCACTAGAATGTCCCGCTCCGCACGAATATGGCCCACCTGCAGGCACACGTATGCATTTGATTAATTACAAGCCCACGTTTTATTATATTCATTTATTTCACAGACAATTCAAGTGTTATATTGAAAAGCAGCAAATATTGAAAAGGCAAAGTTCTGCATGAGGGCAGAAACACCATCAAAACTTCAATAGTTTCACCCCTCAGTATTTTCAGGGAATAAGATAGCATAACACATTCAAAATCAAATCCTAAAGTCATGCTTCTGACAGCAAAAAGGTGAGAAGCTTTTATTAAACTGCTATATTTTTCCAGAATGTTTCTTTTTTTTTCCCCCCCAATCTGACAAATCCCACTGAACACCAACTCCATTTTACTCCTCAGCATGAAGAAAGACCTTTTCACATTCAAGAGTTTCCACTGGAAAGTTTATGGGGACTTCTGCCTTTGGACATTTACGCTTGAGTAACATTTATACTTAGCGTGTGACTTTTGCTGCCGTGCCTTGAGACATGTGTAGGAAGGCAAGAGAGCACTAACCTCATGCTTTTAAGCAAAAACTCAAGCTAGATTAAATTTAAACCACCCTCCGGAACAACAAGGTTCCATACAGAAAGATAACCCATGTTTATGTTTTTATTCTTTCAATTCTTATGGCATTTGGGTCCCCTTCAAATCAGAACTGTACACATGATAGGGGACACTATGAAAACACTTATCTTAAAACCACTTAGATAACAGACCACTCCAAAACACAATTTATTACCATGGGAAGATTGAGGAGGAGAAACAGATGGTTGATTTTAAAAACAGGTTAATCCTATACATAAAAATATCCCTTTTTTTTTTTTTTTTTTTTTTACAAAAATATCTAATAACTAGAGCTCTCAAAATCTAGCTTTTCTCAAACCAGTTAGCGTGCCCTTCAGATACGGCTGCAGCCTATTCCCACAGTTTTAGACCACAGCACCACTGTAGCAGTGCTGCATGGAAGCTCGTGCCGCTTGTTTTCTAAACAAGCACTTTCAGACATGGAAACCAATTCCCGATTTTATGAACACGCACACAGTGCTTCCTAGATTCCCCCCAGTGCTGAACAAGAAATGATTGTCTCAGACCATTGTACTTCCAGAAGTTAACCACCACTGCTTTATGTCTCCGAGTCAGAATTCCAGCAGTCACATCACTTGATATTTCTGTCTAGTTCCATAAATCAGAAATGCAGTAAACCACCGATCTTGACATCTAGACTGAATCACTTGCACACGTCTACGTGTAACATACATCATCATAAAATGAGGAGGAGGAACATAAATCAGATACACAGAACCGTCCTTCGCTTTCATTTGAGAAAGACAAACCTAGTCCTTCGAAAAACGCTCTGCTTCCCCATGTTTTCAAGTAGAAAGTGAGCTCAGTCCTCCCTTGCTTCAGAGCGAGGAGCCCCGTGGAAAAGCATTACAATTGCAGCTGCCATTAAGCCTAAGCAAGGCATTAGAGGCTGGTTGAACCGCTGTTCTGAGCACTCAGTTACATACAATAGCCTGTGACTACTACCGTAACCCTACAGATACTCCTCAAACGTTCGCATTGCTACCAGGAATGTTTAAAAAAGAGCCCGCTACAAGACAGGTCCTTAGGAATTCACACAAGATTTTTCTGACCTATTTCCTTGATAAAAAAATGAGGAAAAAACCCCACGTAATTTTTTAGCTAGCAAACCTAGACCGCAGATGCTTATTACTCCTCTCTACACATCACAGTTACCTCCCAAAGTCATCTAAAACATGGATGGTAGCATCGCTACTCAAGGCGGCTATTCACCTGCTCTTTTTCAAGCATATCAGCTTTACGTAGTATTTTCATTGCATAAACATGCCCCGTATCTTTCTTCTGGACAAGTCGCACCTAGGAAGTACGCAAAAATTTGAGTCAAATACAGCATTATCACTACAACTCTTGACAAATTTGGGTATCAAGCTCTTGGCTTCCATTTAATGACATCAGATTATAAAAACAAAAAACATTACATAGTGCGCAGTAACGACAACCAAGTTCTGTTAATTCTAAGAGATGAAATCATTGTAACAGAGATGACACAGTGAGCGATCGTACACCTAAAGCAGAAGGTCCAAAGCCCCTTTCTCTGAAGAAGGCCACCAGAAGAGACTACTGCGAGCGGCCCCCCAGCTCGCCCTCTTCTGTAAGGCCAGCCCTGGGAGGTCACAATTAAAGTACGCGGCCAAACTCTTATTTAGCTTGCTCAACACGTCCTTTTCAACAGCATTCATGTTCCTTTAAAGCACATAATGTTTTTAAACCAGCATTTATTAGGCATAAAGACAGATGCACGTGACTGTCAAGCTAAAAAATCAATCTGCAGTTGTTACAACATTTATCTTTCTCTTGTATAAACTATGCAAGTCTTTAAATGTATTTTTAAATGGCACTGGTATTTCTTAGTCATCTTTTCTGGACTTACCTCTCCAAAGGCTCCTCTGCCTATGACTTTTAAAGACTCAAAGTCTTCCAAGCCAAGCCTTGTTCTCTTTAGCCGAAGAAACTCCGTTTCCTTTTGTGCGTGTGCTGACCTCCTGATTCTTTTCTAGAGTTCAGGGAAAAAAAAACCAAAACCACAGTAAGAATTCTGCAGGTGGGCTCCATGGAGATCACAGCAATCCCAAGTATAGATCCCAGATCTCCATTTATATAAGAAAATCACTTGTATTTAACCATTAAGATAATTTTTCCATATTCATTACCTCTTCATCTTTTAAGCCTTCTTCTTCCATCATTTGTTCTAGCTTCTTTTGTCTATAACAGAGACAAATTAGAAAAATAAAGGTTGAATCATTAACGTTGTTTCTTAATCACACGCACGTATCCAACACCTCTGGCCTACGCCTGCTGTGAAAGGAGGACGTAATGCCAGCAAGTGACAAGTGTAACTCATACATAAGGGAGACTCAGACATGAGATTAATTTTGAAGAATCTAATATTACGGCTTTACCATTCTAGCCTTGTCCTCTCTAATTTTGACAATCTAAACCTGCCTCGAGTTTCACATCTTATTCAAGTGTACGTTTTCGTTGTATACGAATGCAGATTGAGGAGATCTGGGTTCAATTCTTGTCTCTCTCTTTGACAGCTGGGCAAGTCGCTTAATGCCAGAGCCATAATAAATATTTAAACACCAAAGTCTCACATATTCCAGGGAGAATTTGCTATTTAAACACATCTGTGGATCCGCACTGTAATTTCACTGCATCTCAAACTCATCATATGCAAAATGAGAAAATTTACTTTCTATTTCCTAATACCCAAGATACTCAAAATATTTGGGAAGAGGAAACATATCTGTACACATTCTCCCCCTTAAAGAATCAGAGATGTTTACAGCCTTAGTACAAAATGATTATTTGGGAGAAAAGAAAAAAAGGAAGCAAGACTTCAGAGGGGGGAATAGCTTCAGGGGACCTGCAATGATTACCCTCTGGGAACTTCTTCCCAACACCGATCATATTAATAGCTGGCTGAACTGGGATTGGTGGTTTTTGGGTTTTTTTTTTCTCTCCATGTGTGTTTTTATTGGTATAACATTACAAACATACTAAGAAATTCCTTCTCCTTATGCAAGTCATTCTTCGCAAGATCCTGTTCCGGTCTCCTGTGCCCCTACGCAGCTGCTGCAACGTGATAATATTTGGGGTTATCGCTTCCACAATCAGGCACATTTAAATCGCTTTGCCCTTATTTAAGTACCCAGCGAGCCCTGTCTGGTCACCTCATTTCACACTCAAAACAGTGACTCCAGTAGCAGAAGACGCCTGCTGCAGTAGGCAGAATTAAATAGCTCAGCATGACCAAGCGATGCTGAAATTCCCCCAGATATCCTTAACGGGTCCTATCTGCACTTCAGCGTACATATCGTCACCACCATTTAAACTCCAAATTGCACATCCACATTGTAAAAAAAAAAAAAACAAAAAAACATGTAACTTGTAAAATCCAGTATGTTTGTTCAGACAAAGTTCTGATCCTAAACAGAAAAATCCCTGTTATTGAGGTTTTGGGAGTAGACAATAGCGCTCATAATAAAAAGCAAGAGCTATGCAAAGGGAACGAAAGGAATTAAATCAGTGATAGTTTCTGTTTGGATTAGACCTCAATCTCTCATTACTAATTTGAAGCTTTGAAGCAAATATGTATGCAAGTTAGAATTTATTTCTAAATTGCTTCCTCATTTCTGCAGTTATTGTAGTTAGCAGGCATTCCTCTTGGATCTAGTTAGGTTTCTGGCAGCAAGTCTGCAAGCAAACGAACGCTGAACCTTTTTGAAAATTCTGATTATAGACTACATGGCAAGCTGGGAGAACATCAGAAGTCCCAGTGCTACAACTTGAGGGTATTCAGCAAATTAGAGGGTTCCAGCCAAAGGAAAGTAAAAGTAATACTCCTCAGTTAAATCGCTTGTTATATTTTGACCGATGTATTTAAAGAGATGCCATACGTTCAGCTAACTCACAGACAAGAAGTTCGCATTAAGTGACAGTCCTTACGGCAATCCCTCATTGACTTTGCAAAGATTATCTTCCTTTATCAGCTGACTCGATCACACGTTATAATCCACACTGAAACTGATGCTCTAAAATGAATTTTAAATATTACAACCAGGGACATAAAATGGGAAGAGGCAAGAGAACAGACATAGGCAGGATAAGCGTTTATAAACGTTGGCTTTCTACTTCAGAATTGTACTGGAATCGTCCCAGGCACATCCCAAAGTTAGCTTCTACTTAGTCGCATAATCAAATATAGGGGTTTTTAACAACTTGGTAACAGCCATCTCACTTTTGCATTTACAAGCACCTTTCAATTGGTTGCAGAATAAACTCAAAAAGCTCCAGCCCGAACTACCGCGGGCTTCAGAAACCCACCAGCCGCCTTGGGACCCTCGGCCAAGCCCCATCCAGGCGCCCATCTCAGGAGCCGAGTACGCGCTCAGCAAAGATGCTCGATTTCTGCTTCGGCTCCAGGAAACTAAACGCAGATATTTTATATTGGGAAAGGAAGCAAAAAAGGTCTTTACCTCATCTCTCGTTCTTCATGCTGCGCGATGAGATTGCTGTAGAAGTTTTCTAATGTCACCTTTGTCATCGTAACTCGCTCCTTGGTGTGATTGCTCATGGAGGAGCACGGTGTTGGGCCTGTCATTGCCATGGCTGTTAGGAAAGAAAAAGGGAGGAAACGTTGGGCGTTATAAACGAGAAATAACCTTCCAACAACAGCTGCAATCAATTAAGCGACGCCGAATCAGAGAGTTCAGATTTTAACAACAAACGCTAACAGCCCAGTTGTCTAAGACCAAGTAGGGAAAAGTCTTACAAAATAAAAGGTACAAGTCAAACTTCCTGTTTTGAACATTTCTGATCTGAAAATAAGAGGGAAGGAAACTTAAGAAACATGATGCCTCAAAAACCACAATTTCAGGCAGTACTGCAAGTGTTTCTTGCTCCCAATATATTCAATCTTTAATAAGTGTTAAAAATTCAGAAATATCACACTGAAACACTTAATCCAGAAGTTGTTCTTCCCATGACCCTTGCAGAAACAACTCCAGCAGTTGCCTGCTGTCTCTTCTGCTGTGAGATTTATCAAAATCCCAAAAGCCAACCCAATAACGGAGCAACTGAGGAAGGAGAAAAAAGGCATTTCGTTGCTTTTAAGCACTCTCACTTTTACTAGATGCTTTCACACAGAAATCTGGCAAAATCCAGAGGACCGCTGCCTTTGAACAAGCTGTAGTTTAAAAAAAAAACCAACAACAAAACCAACCTAGTGTAAGTATCCTACATTTACATACTGGATTCTCTTAAGAAATAAATATATTGGAGTATGCCACTTCCAACCGGTAACACGGTTTCAGGGCATATTTGACAACCTAGCTCTACTTTCTAAAATGCATTAAAATGCAAAGATTTCGAGCGTAAAGCTACCTCTTGGTCTAGTTCTCCAGGTCACAACGTAACTCGCAGTAAGGTAACCGAGTTTTGCAACTCTTACTAGAAATTGCAGGCAAATATAGGTTAGGCACACACTCCCCGTTTTTACAATGCCTGGGCGCTGGCAACATTTTATGAGTTATTCTTTTCTGTTTACTTTTTGCAGATCTTTACAAGGCATCATTATTGTGCCTTTGCAAATCACATCCTTTACAGACGCCAACTCTTTTGTTCGCTGCGCTTACAGGCTCATTCCCTAAAAAGATAACAGCGCGGGAGCCGTAAGACCCTCCAGCTCGGTGGTTCTGGGATGGAGCTGTGCCTTTCGGGAGGAGCAGCTCGGGGTGCCACCGCGCCGAGTGGCGGGTCACCTTCTCCGCACACCCCCGAGGAGATGGCACCTTACGTCCCCACGCGCTGTAAGCAGGTAGGCGTGAAAGCCTCTGGTTTTCATTTCCTAGAGAACGGAATATGAAAATTATCTGACAGAAGCGGGTTACAAGGGGGTGCGGGGAAAAAAAAACATGGGAAAGGGAAGAAAAGAGAAAGTGACCGGCTGGAAGGCAGCAGCCAAAGCACCTGTTGGTGCCCCGGTGCCCTTCCTGCGGGGCCCGGCGCTCAGACACCCAGCCCGGGGACGGGACGGTGCCGGGGCAGGACGCTGCCGGGCCCCGGGCTCGGCCGGAGCCGGTGGGGGGCGAGGCAGCCCCCGGGGGCGGCGGCTCCGCGGCCCTTCCTGCGGCCCGACCCGGCAGCATCACCGGGAGCGGACAAAAGGGGCCCAAGCCCGCCCCCAGCCCCGGACGAGGGGGAGAAGGGTGCTCCGCCGCCCCCGGGCCCGCAGCGCGGCCGCCCCCGGGGGAAGGGGGACCCCGGCCCGCAGCGACCCCGCTCCCGGCCCCCCCGGAGCCGGGGGCCTCGGGGGGGGCC